TGCGTGGGAGTGAGGTGTGTGTGTGCGTGAGTGTGCGTGAGTGTGTGTGCGTGAGTGTGTGTGTGTGCGTGAGTGTGTGTGCGTGAGTGTGTGTGTGTGAGTGTGTGTGCGTGTGCGTGAGTGTGTGTGCGTGTGTGTGTGTGTGGGTGTGCATGTGAGTGTGTGGGTGTGCGTGAGTGTGTGTGTGAGTGTGCGTGTGTGTGTGCGTGAGTGTGTGTGTGCGTGAGTGAGTGTGTGTTCAAGGTTCAAGGTTCAAGGTTCTTTATTGTCAATCTGACATAGCTACAGAGTAATTATGCAGTTGAAAATCTTATGTCACAGGCTTCTCCAACAATGCAACATAATAACATAACATAATAACAATAAGAGCAAGAGCAATACAAAAAGAATAATAGTTATAAAAATGAAATAAAGTGATGATGTGGAATAGTGCAGTATGAGTCTATATACAAGTTATTGGAATGATATATATATATTAGGTATTAGATACATATTACTGAGTAGCAGTTGAATGTTTGAAGTTGTTTCAACAGTTCAATTGTTTAACAGTCTCACTGCCCGCGGGAAGAAACTGTCTCCGAATCTTCTTGTCCTTGCCAGGATGCTGCGGTAACGTCTGCCAGACGGCAACAGAAAGAACAGTTTGTGGCTGGGGTGATGGGGGTCTTTGATAATCCGTAGTGATTTCTTCCTGAGCCGCTGGGAGTAAAGGTCCTCCATGGATGGCAGCTCCGTCCTGGTGATGTGCTGTGCAGTTTTCACCACCCTCTGTAAAGCCTTACGATCGAGGTCGGTGCAGCTGCCGTACCAGGCCGTCATGCTGCCAGTGAGGATACTCTCTATCGTGCACCTGTAGAAGTTGCAGAGTATCCTGGAATCCATTTTGAACCTCCTCAACCTGCGGAGGAAGAAGAGCCGCTGTCGAGCTTTCTTGGTGATGGTGGTGGTGTGAAGAGACCATGTCAGGTCCTCAGTGATGTGGACCCCAAGGAACCTGAAGCTTTTGACTCTCTCCACCGTAGTCCCATTGATGGCGATGGGGGCGTGTCCCTCTCCCTGCTGCTTCCTGTAGTCCACAATCAGCTCCTTTGTTTTGCTGATGTTGAGATGGAGGTTGTTCTCCTGGCACCAAGATGTCAGGTTTTCGACCTCCTCTCTGTATGCCGTCTCGTCATCGTCTGTGATCTGGCCGATGACGGTCGTGTCATCAGCAAACTTCACGATGGTGTTGGAGCTGTGTGTGGCCACGCAGTCGTGGGTGAACAGGGAGTAGAGGAGAGGGCTGAGCACGCAGCCTTGAGGGGCACCGGTGTTAAGAATCAGGGTGGAGGATGTGATGTTTCCCACCCGCACTGCCTGGGGTCTGCCCGTCAGGAAGTTCAGGATCCAGTCGCAGAGGGCGCTGTTGAGCCCGAGGTCTCTGAGCTTGATGGCCAGCTTGGAGGGCACAATGGTGTTGAATGCTGAACTGTAGTCAATGAACAGCATTCTCACATATGTGTTCCTGTTCTTCGGGTCCAGGTGTGAGAGGGCAGTGTGGAGGGTGAGGGCTATGGCGTCGTCTGTGGACCTGTTTGCTCTGTAGGCAAACTGCAGGGGGTCCAGAGATTCAGGGAGGGAGGAGGTGATGAATAATTTGACTAACCGCTCAAAGCACTTCATTATGATGGAGGTGAGTGCTACTGGGCGGTAGTCGTTGGGGCAGGTGATGATTGTCTTTTTGGGGACAGGAATGATGGTGGAGTGTTTAAGACATGTGGGGACTACAGACTGCAGCAGGGACCTGTTGAAGATGTCTGTGAACACCTCTGCCAGCTGAACTGCACACACCCTGAGAACACGGCCAGGGATGCCATCAGGTCCAGGAGCCTTGTGTGGGTTAACCCTTTTAAAGGATTTACACACATCTGCCCTATTTAAAACAAAAGGGCAGTGTAGCTCCTGGTCCCTCTGTACCTCCACAGCCTGGCTGCTCTCAAAGCGTGCAAAAAACTGTTTAGCTCATCTGGGAGAGATGCGCACGCAGACACTCCCGCAGCACCCCCCGCTGCTCCTTTGTAGTCAGTCATTGTCCTTAGTCCCGCCCACATATTCCTAGTGTTACAGCCTTTGAAGTCAGATTCCACCTTGTCTTTGTACTGTCTCTTTGCTGCTGATTGCTCTCCGGAGATCATACCTAGACTTCCTGTACTCCTCCAAATCTCCCGCTGTGTGCGCGAGAGTGCGCGCTTTCAGTTTGCCGCGCACCTCACCGTTTACCCAGGGCTTTTGATTTGGGAATGTCCGTACAGAAACCTTCGGTACCACGTCATCGATGCATTTCCCAATGTAGCAGATGACAGTGTCCGTGTGTGTGTTGATGTTATTGTCCTCAAACACACTCCAATCTGTAGATGCAAAGCAATCCTGCAGTGCTGCATCTGACTCCTCGCTCCATCGTTGTACTGTCCTTGTTATCGGTCTGTCCCTTTTAAGTTTCTGCTTGTAAGCAGGCAACAACAGTAGTGAGATATGGTCTGATTTGCCGAAGGGAGGGCGAGGGAGAGCCTTATATCCATTCCGGAAAGGGGAATAAACATGGTCCAGTATGTTTCCCCCGCGCGTCGAGAAGTTGATGTGTTGGTAATATTTTGGCAAAACCTTCTTCATGTTGGCGGTGTTGAAATCTCCGGCCACAACGAACGCCGCATCTGGCCGTGAAGTCTCGGTTTTATCAATAATCCCAAACAGCTGATCGAGTGCCGTGTTGTTGTCGGCGAGTGGCTGCGGCGGGACATACACTGCTGTTATCACAACAGATGTGAATTCCCTCGGCAGATGGAAGGCCCCGACATGAGATCATGAGGTGCTCTAGCTGTGCGGAACAGTCCGATGAAATAATCTTCACATCTGAGCACCAGTTGTTGTTAGTCATTACACACACACCGCCTCCCTTACTTTTCCCCGAGTTAGCAGTCCGGTCCTGACGAAAAATAGAGAATCCATCAGGAACAATAGCGGAGTCCGGGATAGCGGTGTTGAGCCAAGTCTCAGTGAGAATTAACACGTTACAGTTCTTAATGTCCCGTTGAAAAGCTATCCGGCTTCTGAGTTCATCTAGCTTATTTTCAATGGATTGAACATTAGCCAGAAGAATACTCGGAAGAGGGGGCCGATTCTCACGTTTCCTCAGTCTGACCAGCAACCCGGCCCGGCATCCCCGCTTTGTCTTCTTCTTGCGTCTCTCAGGTAGAACAGCAACAGGTAGCCATGGTGGATCTCCATTGTTTGTCGGAGGGTTATTTTTGTCCACGAAGTTTCGCAATTGGAAAAGTTCCTCTCTGCTATATTGTATGGCAGAGTAGGTGCGGTCGGCTAGCATGTTGCGAACCATGTTAAAAGTAAAACGGCAAAAGTAAAAGAAATATGTACAAAATACGAAAATGGGCAAAGTTGGAGAGGAGCACGAAGACGATGCGGCCATCTTCACCGGCGCATCAACGTCAATCGTTGCGATTGACGTTGAGTGCGTGTGTGTGTGCGTGAGTGTGCGTGAGTGTGTGTGTGTGTGTGTGTGCGAGTGTGAGTGTGCGAGTGCGTGAAGTATCAGTATCAGAATACCTTCATTCGTCCCAGAGGGGAAATGTACATTGTTACAGCAGAAAAGAGACAAAGACAGCTTAATGTTAACTAAGAAGCATAAACGTGTGTGTGTGTGTGTGTGTGCGTGTGTGTGTGTGTGTGTGTGTGTGTGTGTGCGTGTGTGTGTGTGTGCGCGTGTGTGTGTGTGTGCGTGTGTGTGTGCGTGTGTAGGTGCAGGCTGCAGACTCAGTGCTGGTGGTTGGAGGAGGATCAACTGGAGTGGAGATGGCCGCTGAGATAAAGACGCAGTATCCACACAAGAAGGTGAGCTTTATTTTATTGATGTTTTTTTTTTGTAATTTTTCTTTAGATTTTCTCTTTGACATAATTTGTAATTTTTCTATAAATTTGAATTTAAATGTTTTATATTTTTAAAAATGTTTTGTATTTATTTATATTTGATTTGTCTTTTTTTTGGTTTTTCTTTAAATGTTACTTTTATTTTTAGGGTTATTTAATTAATTAATTTTTTAAATCGTTTTTTCTTGTTACTATTTTTGATCAGATCTGTTTGAGTTTAATTTTTTTTTATTTCCATGCTTTTGCTATCATCATTTATTTAGTATTATATTGTAATATTCTGTATCTCCCCTCTGGCTCTCAGGTGGTTCTGATCCACTCCCGGGTCCATCTGGCCGACCCGGGCCTGCTGCCCTCCGTCAGAGAGCAGAGCAAAGAGGTGCTGCTGGAGAAGGGGGTGGAGCTAATACTGGGTACACACACACACACACACACACACACACACACACACACACACACACACACACACACACACACACACACACACACACACACACACACACACACACACACACACACACACACACACACACACACACAGTTTTACTCCCACCGAAAGGGCTAGACAACACGGGGCGTGACCACTCAACTTTAGTTTCGGATTTATGTTTATTTAAAGTGGACCTATCATGCTATATTATAATAATATAGTGTAGGACCATACCTATATAAGGCATATTTATACTTTTTGTTTTTCAAAATACCAAACAGATCATGCATTTTAGCCATGCCTCATTTCCCTCAATTTGACAATTTTTAGCTCTGTTTTGGCAAGGGCTGATTCTGTGAAAACAGCACCACCTACAGGCCTGGCATATGTACTACAGCGTCTCCAGCGCTTTGGAACGGCAATGGCCGGGGCTGTCTCCTCCTGATTGGTGGAGTTGGCCCAATAGCCGTAGCGCCACCGTCCTGACGTCAGGACAGTGTTCAAATCTGGATCAGTTTTTATCAGATCCGTTGCAGCCCCTTTTTTAGAGATTTGGGTATGGAGGAAAATAGAGAGGGTTGTGTTTTCTGACACTTGGTGAGTTCCCTGGAACACCGGGGACACATATTCATGTAGAAAAGACGTACAAAGGTGCATTTTTCATGATAGGTCCCCTTTAACACGCTCTTCTCCACTCAAAGAAGCACATGGTATCAGCAAGTCAGCTTTTCTTCATACAAACCCATTTAGTTAGGTTATCAACCTAAGAGAAAACACATTACACACAAATGACATAGAGCATCCACAACAAAGGTCTGTCACCATAATCACATGTGAACCAAACACTACCGGCTGCCCGTGGCTGATCAAAACAGAAGTGACAAACATTTCACTGGGCTTTTCAAGATGGCTGACGGTCCCTCATCAAAAGAGTCCCAAGGGAAACAAAATACTGGAACCAAGGTTCCCTCCCACCTGAGACCTATTTTTCATTACAACCTGCACAACTAAACAAGTAGCTTAAAGGTGGGGTAGGTAAGTTTGAGAAACCGGCTGGAGATACACTTGTTATATTCCATGGAATGCTCTTAACATCCCGATAGCAATGAATATCTGAAGTGCTTTGACAAAAAATCCATAAATAAGTATCATCTGTGGAAGCTGTAGTACTGTAAAAAGCACGACCAATCATCTGAGCCGGCCCGGCTAAAATAACTGGATGGCCGACCTGCCTGTCAGCCTTCCATCTGTGCACAAACTTATCTCGTGCCCTCATTGGTCATGTGCGCGTTCGTGTTGGAGGAGGGGCTCTGTGAGGAAGTGGGAGATTTTCTCCGGTTGTGTATTTTCAAATTCTAGCGATCTCGAGCCGGTTTCTCAAACTTACCTACCCCACCTTTAATGCTTCATGATTGAAATAAATAAATAGAAAATAAATGAATAAACAACCAAAATTAACTCCACACACACACACACACACACACACACACACACACACACACACACACACACACTGATGCACACACACACTTTAATATATCACCCTCTCAGGTGAGAAGGTGTCCAACCTGTCGGAGCTGCAGCTGAACGTCGTCAGCAGGAACTCGGAGGTGAAGACAGATAAAGGTCAGACTCTGACCTCAGATCTGATCATCAGCTGCACCGGACTCAAGGTCAACTCTGACGCCTACGCCTCCAGCTTCTGTGAGTCCTGGAGTACATAGATATATTTAAATACACTAAAGTATATACTACAGTACTTCAGTACATGTTTACAGATATATTTCATAGTGCAGTTAGGTGATCTGGCCTCTAGAGGGCAGTAGAGGAGTTTTTCACCGTCTTATCAGGATCAGAGTGAGACATCTGCACCTGTGTGTGTGTGTGTGTGTGTGTGTGTGTGTGTGTGTGTGTGTGTGTGTGTGTGTGTGTGTGTGTGTGTGTGTGTGTGTGTGTGTGTGTGTGTGTGTGTGTGTGTGTGTGTGTGTGTGTGTGTGTGTGTCAGCCGACTCCCTGGTGGAGGGCGGGGCTCTGAAGGTGAACCCTCACCTGCAGGTTGAGGGCTTCTCCAACGTGTTCGCTGTGGGCGACTGCACCGACATCAAAGAGCCGAAGACGGCGTACAACGCCGAGCTGCACGCCCACGTCGCCGTTAGCAACATCAAGAACATCCTGAGCGGGAAGGAGCTGACCTCGTATCAGACAGGTACACACACCTGTCTGTACTCACACCTGTACACACACCTGTCTGTAGACACACCTGTCTGTAGACACACCTGTCTGTACTCACACCTGTACTCACACCTGTCTGTACTCACACCTGTCTGTACTCACACCTGTACTCACACCTGTCTGTACTCACACCTGTCTGTACTCACACCTGTCTGTACTCACACCTGTACTCACACCTGTCTGTACTCACACCTGTCTGTACTCACACCTGTACTCACACCTGTCTGTACTCACACCTGTCTGTACTCACACCCGTCTGTACTCACACCCGTCTGTACACACACCTGTCTGTACACACACCTGTCTGCTGTACTCACACCTGTCTGTACTCACACCCGTCTGTACTCACACCCGTCTGTACTCACACCTGTCTGTACTCACACCCGTCTGTACTCACACCTGTCTGTACTCACACCCGTCTGTACTCACACCTGTCTGTACTCACACCTGTAGACACACCTGTCTGTACTCACGCCTGTAGACACACCCGTCTGTACTCACACCCGTCTGTAGACACACCCGTCTGTACTCACACCTGTCTGTACTCACACCTGTCTGTAGACACACCCGTCTGTACTCACACCCGTCTGTACTCACACCTGTCTGTACTCACACCTGTCTGTACTCACTCCCGTCTGTACTCACTCCCGTCTGTACTCACACCCGTCTGTAGACACACCCGTCTGTACTCACACCCGTCTGTACTCACACCTGTCTGTACTCACACCTGTCTGTACTCACTCCCGTCTGTACTCACTCCCGTCTGTACTCACACCCGTCTGTACTCACACCTGTCTGTACTCACTCCCGTCTGTACTCACTCCCGTCTGTACTCACACCCGTCTGTAGACACACCTGTCTGTACTCACACCTGTCTGTAGACACACCTGTCTGTACACCCGTCTGTACTCACACCTGTCTGTACTCACACCCGTCTGTACTCACACCTGTCTGTACTCACTCCCGTTTGTACTCACACCCGTCTGTAGACACACCCGTCTGTACTCACACCCGTCTGTACTCACACCCGTCTGTACTCACTCCCGTCTGTAGACACACCCGTCTGTACTCACACCTGTCTGTACTCACTCCCGTCTGTAGACACACCCGTCTGTACCTGTCTGTACTCACACCTGTCTGTACTCACACCTGTACTCACACCTGTCTGTACTCACACCTGTCTGTACTCACACCTGTCTGTACTCACACCTGTCTGTACTCACACCCGTCTGTACTCACACCCGTCTGTACTCACACCCGTCTGTACTCACACCTGTCTGTACTCACACCTGTCTGTACTCACACCGGTCTGTACTCACACCCGTCTGTACTCACACCCGTCTGTACTCACACCTGTCTGTACACACACCTGTCTGTACACACACCTGTCTGCTGTACTCACACCTGTCTGTACTCACACCTGTCTGTACTCACACCCGTCTGTACTCACACCCGTCTGTACTCACACCTGTAGACACACCTGTCTGTACTCACACCTGTAGACACACCCGTCTGTACTCACACCCGTCTGTAGACACACCTGTCTGTACTCACACCTGTCTGTACTCACTCCCGTCTGTACTCACTCCCGTCTGTACTCACACCCGTCTGTACTCACACCCGTCTGTACTCACACCCGTCTGTACTCACACCCGTCTGTACTCACACCTGTCTGTACTCACTCCCGTCTGTACTCACTCCCGTCTGTACTCACACCCGTCTGTAGACACACCTGTCTGTACTCACACCTGTCTGTAGACACACCTGTCTGTACACCCGTCTGTACTCACACCTGTCTGTACTCACACCCGTCTGTACTCACACCTGTCTGTACTCACTCCCGTCTGTACTCACACCCGTCTGTACTCACACCCGTCTGTACTCACACCTGTCTGTACTCACACCCGTCTGTACTCACACCTGTCTGTACTCACTCCGTCTGTACTCACACCCGTCTGTACTCACACCCGTCTGTAGACACACCCGTCTGTACTCACATCCGTCTGTACTCACACCCGTCTGTAGACACACCCGTCTGTACTCACATCCGTCTGTACTCACACCCGTCTGTACTCACTCCCGTCTGTAGACACACCCGTCTGTACTCACACCCATCTGTACCCGTCTGTACTCACACCCGTCTGTACTCACACCCGTCTGTACTCACACCCGTCTGTACTCACACCTGTAGACACACCCGTCTGTACTCACTCCCGTCTGTAGACACACCCGTCTGTACTCACACCCGTCTGTACCCGTCTGTACTCACACCCGTCTGTACTCACACCCGTCTGTACTCACACCCGTCTGTACTCACACCTGTAGACACACCTGTCTGTACTCACACCTGTCTGTACTCACACCCGTCTGTACTCACACCCGTCTGTACTCGCGTCTGTACTCACACCCGTCTGTACTCACACCTGTACTCACACCTGTCTGTACTCACACCTGTACTCACAGCTGTCTGTACTCACACCTGTCTGTACACACACCTGTCTGTACTCACACCTGTACTCACACCCGTCTGTACTCACACCTGTCTGTACTCACACCTGTACTCACACCTGTCTGTACACACACCTGTCTGTACTCACACCTGTCTGTACACCTGTTGCTAACGTCAGTGTGTTGCTGGTTGCTAGGCAGCGTCACCATGCTGCTGGCGATGGGCCCTGACGACGGCGTGGGGCAGTTTAATGGATGGCAGCTTCCTCGATTCCTGGTCACTCTGGGGAAGAGTCGAAATCTGCTGGTGTGGAAGAGCTGGAGGGATATGAAGCAGAGCCAACACTGACACACACACACACACTGACACACACACACACTGACACACTGACACACACACACACACTGACACACTGACACACACACACACTGACACACACACACACTGACACACTGACACACACACACACACTGACACACTGACACACACACACACTGACACACTGACACACACACACACACTGACACACTGACACACACTGACACACACACACACAGTATGATTCATTCCTGATCTCACAGATGTGTCTATCTAAAGTTTCTTTAAATATAAAATATATCTTTTCCAAACTGTTTCTCTGAAATCGTTTACCTGAATATGTAATAAATAATCTCAATAAAGTCACTGTGTGTTTATCATTTTTTTAGGATCTTTGGCAAATGTGGCATTTCCACTTTAAACTATTTAGTTAAACTCATTTTAGAATCTTTCCCAATGTTTGCAATCATTTAGTACGTTTTCTACTAAACACAGATCCTGAGCTAAATACAATACGAGGTAACCATGACGTTAACATCTGTAGAGGACTCTTTAAAGTAGAGACACTACACACTGATATACACCTGAACATCAGCAGGAGAGGACTCTTTAAAGTAGAGACACTATATACTGATATACACCTGAACATCAGCAGGAGAGGACTCTTTAAAGTAGAGACACTACATACTGATATACACCTGAACATCAGCAGGAGAGGACTCTTTAAAGTAGAGACACTACATACTGATATACACCTGAACATCAGCAGGAGAGGACTCTTTAAAGTAGAGACACTATATACTGATATACACCTGAACATCAGCAGGAGAGGACTCTTTAAAGTAGAGACACTACATACTGATATACACCTGAACATCAGCAGGAGAGGACTCTTTAAAGTAGAGACACTACATACTGTGGAGGAAACTTCTGTGTAGTAATGCATGGAGTCACCGACTCAGGAAGGAGACACGGTGAGAGTTGGAGCTTTGATGTCAAACACTGATGGGTTTATTCAGAGTATTCGGCCGGAGGATTCACATCACAAATCAAAGAGTCAGAGGTTCTGACCACACGGTAGAGTTGCCACGTCAATTCTGAAGAACCTCTCTCTATGCTAGACCTTTTAACTGGTTCACAGAGAGAAATCAACATCTCTGAAGGAGTAGACTAAACACTGAATAATCTGCGTCCGACGCTCATGGCCTCAAGGATTTCACATCTTAGAGCCCACAAACACCGATAAAGAAGTGCCTCAGTGTTCTCACAACAATTACCCTTCGTGCCAGTCAAGTTGACCGGTCTCACACTGGTGACAACAACACATATGGCACCAAGGCCTTTCCTTAAAGGAGATAACACATGTCAGAGTAAAAGGTTAGATATCTAGAAGAATTATTCCTTAACAGTTCCTCTCTTTTTATCATTTTTGATAACCTTAAAACATTAGTCTAATAATTCTGGTCAATACTTAAATCAATAGGCGTCTTCAGATTCGAGTGTGGTCTCACCTTACATTCAATTACATCACAAAGTAGAATAAGATTGAAACATTCAATCACAATGATTGATACAGGCAATCATAATAGGAACAATTATCTCTCATCAGTGTTTGGAGCATCTTTTGTCAAAAGCATAATAATGAACACACATAAAAACACAGATACATAATAGCAAAATATTTGTTTTAAACTAATATCTTTTATCATTTAAACCATTAGTTAATGTCATTTATCAAACTATAAAATCAAAACCAGAAACAGCTTAAAGATTTGCTTTAAGGCAAAAGCATTTCAAACTTAGGATCATCAGAGATCCAGCTAAGGCATACAATTCACAGTGGTGATTTGATCAATCTGTAATCGGCAAAGTTGCAGTGTCCTCAATTTTAGGATTACTTTACGTTTACTTCATTACGCTTTAGTCAAGAGTAAGGCACTTAGTCTTAGTAAAATCAATACATTCATTTTAGTCAAATACATTGTTCAAAATCTGAAAAGGAAAAGTTAGGCAAATATTCAAAGACTTTTGTAAAAACCTGGAAAGGAAAGATTAAACATTCTTAAAACTTTAATTCATACATTTGTAAATGCTACAACTGATCTGTACCAAATTAAGTCTATCACTTATTCTTATTAGCCATACTTACCTGAACATCTACTTATGGTACTTGGAAAGGATTCTTCTGTGTTTATCTAATGTTGAATATAGAATATCAATTTCTTTAAATTATACTTCTCTAATTTGAGGATCAAATATGCTACATAATTGTTATATGAATTATTATAAATATTTGTTTTGGGCCAAAACTTAAATGAATCCAGTACTTGAAACATCATGTTAGGTCTGTCTGTTCATGGACAATACATTACAGAGTTGTGTTGTTAAGCCTGATTGCTGGATGATTAAGGATATTAACATTATCTGTTATAATATTAGAAATACCTTATAATTCAATACCTTATAATCTGAAAATATTTATTTATTAATTTTGTTTAGTGTGAAAATCTAATCTGATCTGACTAAATATATTAATCACCACTATTTAACACATGTCTGGTCATTGGAAATATAAAAAACAATCATTAATTGTACATCTTTAAACATCTGGTCATTCAATTCAAAGTTCATCTTTGTACGAGAGCTGGAAGAACATGTCCGTCAGGCTTCCTGACTCGTTCTCCTCCTCCCTTTATGACACCGAGTGTCTGGTGTGTAAAGGCATCCTGATACTGTAGATTAGCACTGATTGGCTCAAACTCTTCTTCATCAGAGCGCCATATTTCAACCCCCCAATTGCTCTGCTTTTGTGTGGCTCATTCAGTGAGCACTGTAGCTGACCCCCCAGTGAGACGGAGGCTCATCTGCCGGTATTCCTTCTGCTATCTGCTTGAGTACAACTGCGTATTCCTGATGCATCCAGGTGTCCCCCCCGTTATGGGAGAGGTTAGGAAGACATCAAACTCCTCCAAGAAACATGGAACCTTGTATTATAGAAGCCTCGGAAGCCCTCGCTCGTCCTGCAGGGTGGTCTGCTAGAGCCCACCGAGCAGAAAGGTGAAGAGAAGAACCCCCTCTTATCAGAAAGGTGAAGAGAAGCATCCCATCTTATCAGAAAGGTGAAGAGAAGCATCCCCTCTTATCAGAAAGATGAAGAGAAGAACCTCCTCTCAGCAGAAAGGTGAAGAGAAGCATCCCCTCTTATCAGAAAGGTGAAGAGGAGCATCCCATCTTATCAGAAAGGTGAAGAGGAGCATCCCATCTCGAACGACCTCGTGCTTCCTTGCACGTGGCTGGGGGTGCTCTCTGCACCCGGAGAGTGTGACCCTCTCTCTCTCTGACCCTTGGCCTTGAGAGCTGTCCTAGTTATTGGGTTAACACCTGATAGGGATGTTTTTCTGAGTGAAGACAACTCAAAGTAATGGATTAGCACATTATCATTTAATTACAAAAATAGGATAGGCCCCTCAGAATGATTTGGGAGCCTTCCTGACACATGCACATTATCATTTTGAAGGTTTGTGTTAGTCATTGAACATGCAAGAATCATATACTCATCAGTCCATAGCAGAGACATGTTATTGTAAGTTAAAGGTGAGCTTGTCCCTGTGGATATAACCCCTTCTCAATGATTCTAAATGTATATTAATTCACCATTTACCTTTTGATAAAATATTAGTTTATCAGAAATATTTAGTCTCTTCCATAAAACATAGGTTTGAGAAATAAATTACCCAATATAAAATAAATTACTCAATATAATTGACTCTTCCCTCCCTTTTCTTACATATGGTACATATGAAATAATAACTTAGGAGTCTATTTAAACATGGTATAGTTTATAATCTATGAATCGAGAAGACTCAGTATCACCTGTGTGCAGCTTACAAAAACCCATTGTGATAAACATATATTATGCAGGAAATTGATACATTTGTTGAAAAACAAAGCATATCTGATTTGGGAGGAAAAGTTTCATCCCTTTAACATCTGAGTTATTACTGAAGGCATAGCATGAATGATACTGGGTGTCTGAGGGTGTCATTACTGAGAAATGTCAAACAAAATCAAAACCTTACATTTGAAAACAGGTTTGCATTCCTCCACTGAAGGTGACGTTATCATTGGAAACATTAAAAGCTAATTGTTTTGATGTAGAATCTATGCATTGAATCGTTAGAGCAGAACAGAATGGTTGTATTGTAGCCTGAGTTTTGTGCAGCCTTCAGTTTTACCAGGTGGAAACATTGTCTATATAATGTGAATACATGTAGAACTAGACATTAAGTCCCTGACATTAGGCCTATTTGAAACAATAGTAGGGGCTTTTACCAGCTCGCCCACTTACAGGCATCCTCTGCATAGCAGTATGAATAGCCTTAAAAACAAACCACTCTGCGGTAACGAGAGTCATGTATCTGAACCAAATGCCCTAAGTGAAGCCGTTAGTCTCATCTGACTGACCCAAGGGTTGGTGCTGGTGTGACAGGGAGGCTTCCAAGTGTTCATAGCAGATGCTTTCAGTTCATGGCTCAGTGGGGGGGAGCAGACCCATGTGAGACAGTATCAACAGCTGTAATGTTCAGTTTGAGGAGTGTCATTCTCTCTGGGAGCATGAAATGGTGTCCATTCAGACCAGACCATTAATGTCATGTAGAGCAGCCATAGCATCTCTGTGACTGCACTCAGCCGGACTGCAGCAGGGCAGAACTGGGTGACTTTTAGTGAAGCCGTCCAAGGCCATAGACAAAATGGAACCACGTACTAACAAAAGGGACACAAGGTCATCAATGTCTCTCTTTACCTTTGGCCTGATTGTAAAACAAATTAGTGGAAGAAATGTGGAACACTAATCCATCATCATGTGACATTTAGAGTTCATTTAAATAATTACTTATGGGTTGAAGTCAAATTAACATTAACATTAGAACTAAAGTCAGTCAAAATTGGACGTGCACGGATCAGAATCTAATCAATACACCATTTTCCCAGCTCTGTAATGAAAAGGATATCAAGATTAGGTACATTACAGGAGTGATAAAACATCCAAACATGCACACTTATCTTATTCTAGTAGAGATTAGAGGACAGGTCTAATGTTGTGAACAAAATGATCAAGTCAAGTTATTTTATTTATTTTATCTTATGTACCACATTTAATTTAATAATTAATCTTAAATTACTAATAACTTTAAAGAAGGCAACAATTTACAATGTGGATAAGGTGACTACTTATCCAAAGTGTGTGTGTGTGTGTGTGTGTGTGTGTGTGTGTGTGTGTGTGTGTGTGTGTGTGTGAACAGCTTGTCTGCCCAAGGTTTAAAACATTTGGGACAGCAGTGAGAATGTTATGAGAAACAATTTGTTGCTTATACTGAACTCGAAAGAAGCTCGACTGGAACATTTTAAATAAATCAAAACACTTGCACATTAATTAAATACATTTGACATTTAGCTTGAGCTGGGTTCAATACTTTCTTTATGGTATTTAAATTGGGCTCAAGTAGAACCTTTACATGGATTTGGCTTGCAACACAAAGTGATACCGATCTCTGTCTGTTATGATTTGAAAGTCTCATGATTTAAAGTGTAGGGCTGTGAAGGAGAGGCCCTTGGAAAACAACCTCTACTTCTTTGTTAACTGTAATTACTTATTGTAAAGAGATTGCAACATTATACTTTTTAAAGAATTGCTCAATTCATTTAACACATTTATTATGCACACTGTAATGAAAACGTCAACAAATATATTGATCCTGGCTTAACCAGCGACCTTTACTCTTTTGTTCATAAGCTCGGTTTCAGAAAACTTGTCAGTAGTTTAACAACTATTATAATTGTAGTAATGTCTATGGAGACCAATTGGTTGATACGAGAAATCATTTGAAGCAGTTTAATAAAGAATGTTAAACTATATTTAAAACTGTAATTAAACTTCAACTTATATTAATTATCTGAATCCAGTGGCCAGTTGGAATAGACAATCAACAAAGTTTCCATTTTGCAGCAACAGCGCAAAAGGTTTCAACAATAGTTTGTATTATGTCTGAGTCAAGTTCTGTCTTATCAGCTTTGTTTCGGAATGTGTTCAATACATTACGTTTTTTTCATTATTACCATACAATACATAGATTTAAGAATAAATGGAACAAATAATACAACATTGACCTAAAACAGCAGACAGATTTTGCCCCCCTGACCTCCTCAGGCAGGGTTTTTACGACCAGCAGTGATGCCTCTGAGGGTCTAAGGGTGCAGGACGGGGCATAGGGTTTATAAAAGGTCACAAACATATCTTAACATAACAGCAATACAATTTAAAATGTATTCTTAAAGTAATATAATCTTCTCTTCTTCTTACACCTACAGCGCACACCCTGAACAGTGTGCTCCTTGTTTACATTTCCTCTGCACACTCAGATGCAGCGCACACCCTGAACAGTGTGCTTCTTGTTTACGTTTCCTCTGCACACTCAGATGCAGGACATAAAACACTCTTTTGCTATTTATTTTCATTTTGCAGCACATCTATACTACCAGAATTTTGCAAAACACTATATATTATTTATCTTTCTCAAGTCATTTACTTTTGGTGAGTTAACTAAAGCTTAGTTTATTTTACCCTGGCTATGGACTGATTCATTATTAGTTGTTACAAAACATGCACAAGACGGCGGTTAGACAAACCAATATAGACCCCTGATACAAACAATCAGACAAACAAACATGAACTCATAATAAACAACAATGCAACAGCAAAGTTCATCCAGCTCAATTTAGTCCGGATTAAAGAGGTTTCAGAGGGGGTAGGGACTATTTGATCTCTCCCAATGGGAACCCAGTGGGGTACCTTGACTCGTGCCTCCACCCTTGTATACAAGTCCTTAGATCGGTGCCTGAAGACCGTCCAAGAGCAATAACTAGCTTATCCTCTTGCGACCCCACTATCCCTGCTCTAGTGGTGCTATGCCCCCCCGATCCGGAGCACATAGACTTTTTTTCCTCTACCCTTTCTATCCGAAACCACACAGTTAACTGTAGTCCTACTCGACCAGCCTATACACCTCCCATCATGCTCATCACAACGATGAAACACAGTTTTGCTCTACACTTGCATACCACTGCCCACCCATGATCAATTAGCCTATAATTTTATGTATGCACCCCGGACCGACATCAGCTCCTCAGCAATGTAGGGAGCCTGTCGCATCAGGTAATGCACGCACCTCGCACTTGCCAGCACATCGTAAACGGCCACAAGCCACGAGAGTGCTTTTAAACAGTCTCGTTTTTAATAGAGACGGCGGTGGTGTGAGTTAAAGTTATAGACAAAAGCTGTGATTTTCTCCCTCCGAGTTCACTTCACCAGCTCATGCAGATACGGGGAGGCATTTGACACGCATTCCCCGGAGCTGCAGCAGCTGGAGCCGTGTTTTTTTTAGAGGCGCTGGGGGTAATATCTATGGCTGCTTTAGTTAACTGCTAGTGTTGGCCGCTGAAACCCCCGGAATCTCGGCGATTTGTTCATTACAAATCTCTATTTTGATTTCACACAGAAGTTCCACTTTACTGCTGCCCTCATTAAGGTCTTTTTAAACATCTCCGTGTATGCCTGCACGGCACATACGTCCGAGCAGCACACACAGAGGGAACCAGCCAAGACAGAGTCCCTGGATGATCCCCTGGGGTTACTAGCCCCAAATGTTCATTAACCAAAACGAAACGCAGCCGCTTAGCTTCACAGATAATTTTAGGATACCGTCAATCACAGATTCTGGTAAGGCAATGTCCAAATGTAGATTTGAAATCACACTTACCAGTCTCTGAAGATCTGTTGGTATCCTGCCGACAACGCCAATTTGTGGAGGAAACTTCTGTGTAGTAAAGCATGGAGTCACCGACTCAGGAAGGAGACACGGTGAGAGTTGGAGCTTTGATGTCAAACACTGATGGGTTTATTCAGAGTATTCGGCCGGAGGATTCACATCACAAATCAAAGAGTCAGAGGTTCTGACCACACGGTAGAGTTGCCACGTCAATTCTGAAGAACCTCTCTCTATGCTAGACCTTTTAACTGGTTCACAGAGAATCAACATCTCTGAAGGAGTAGACTAAACACTGAATCATCTGCGTCCAACGCTCATGGCCTCAAGGATTTCACATCTTAGAGCCCACAAACACCGATAAAGAAGTGCTTCAGTGTTCCCACAACAATTACCCTTCGTGCCAGACAAGTTGACCGGTCTCACACTGGTGACAACACATATGGCACCAAGGCCTTTCCTTAAAGGAGATAACAGATGTCAGAGTAAAAGGTTAGATATCTAGAAGAATTATTCCTTAACACATACTGATATACACCTGAACATCAGCAGGAGAGGACTCTTTAAAGTAGAGACACTACATACTGATATACACCTGAACATCAGCAGGAGAGGACTCTTTAAAGTAGAGACACTACATACTGATATACACCTGAACATCAGCAGGAGAGGACTCTTTAAAGTAGAGACACTACATACTGATATACACCTGAACATCAGCAGGAGAGGACTCTTTAAAGTAGAGACACTACATACTGATATACACCTGAACATCAGCAGGAGAGGACTCTTTAAAGTAGAGACACTACATACTGATATACACCTGAACATCAGCAGGAGAGGACTCTTTAAAGTAGAGACACTACATACTGATATACACCTGAACATCAGCAGGAGAGGACTCTTTAAAGTAGAGACACTACATACTGATATACACCTGAACATCAGGACTCTTTAAAAAGAAACATCTCAAATGTATAAAACAGCTTCTTTATTTTTTCAAACAATAAATACAAATACGTTAAACTTGAATGTCTTCATGTGTTCTTGTTCGTATAAAAGTGTGTTCATACAGAAAGTCATCATCTTTAATATCCGTCTGCTTCCATCGCACACTTTAAGACAAAGCACAGATTTAACATTTCTTAACGACAGCTTTTTAGAAAAACTAAATATAAAACTTACAAAAAGATAAATATTCAGTGAATAAAAAACATTTAGTGGAATAGTTTGAGACGCTCGGGCGACGGGCCGCCGTCATGCGTCGAATAAATACTACATCAATAAATAGATTTTATTTAGCTGAAACTTCCGGATGGAAAACACCTGGTCAGGTTAACGAGGAGGGGGAGACACCTGGTCAGGTTAACGAGGAGGGGGAGACACCTGGTCAGGTTAACGAGGAGGGGGAGACACCTGGTCAGGTTAACGAGGAGGGGGAGACACCTGGTCAGGTTAACGAGGAGGGGGAGACACCTGTCAGGTTAACGAGGAGGGGGAGACACCTGGTCAGGTTAACGAGGAGGGGGAGACACCTGGTCAGGTTAACGAGGAGGGGGAGACACCTGGTCAGGTTAACGAGGAGGGGGAGACACCTGGTCAGGTTAACGAGGAGGGGGAGACACCTGGTCAGATTAACGAGGAGGGGGAGACACCTGGTCAGGTTAACGAGGAGGGGGAGACACCTGGTCAGGTTAACGAGGAGGGGGAGACACCTGGTCAGGTTAACGAGGAGGGGGAGACACCTGGTCAGGTTAACGAGGAGGGGGAGACACCTGGTCAGGTTAACGAGGAGGGGGAGACACCTGGTCAGGTTAACGAGGAGGGGGAGACACCTGGTCAGGTTAACGAGGAGGGGGAGACACCTGGTCAGGTTAACGAGGAGAGGGAGACACCTGGTCAGGTTAACGAGGAGGGGGAGACACCTGGTCAGGTTAACGAGGAGAGGGAGACACCTGGTCAGGTTAACGAGGAGGGGGAGACACCTGGTCAGGTTAACGAGGAGGGGGAGACACCTGGTCAGGTTAACGAGGAGAGGGAGAGAGATTACAGGTAAATCAGAGCGGAGGTTTAACCACAGAAGAATCGTTAAGGTCACATGTTCTATATATTTTTCAGAAATTAAAGACTTGTTGGTTTTTTTTGTGCAATTTAAAAAATGCTTCGAGGGAAAAACGATTGAAACTGAAATGAAATATTTTTTGCAACAAAAACTAATTTGTGACCAATTTTTGTTTTGTTTGCAAATTTGTTTCCGAAGACACGAGATGAACCCCGTACTTACAGCAGCTTTACATTTGTTCAAAAGGCGGCGTTACACTTTAGAAAGTCGCAGAGAAGTATTAATAAAAGGTGCTCGATCGGTGAGGAGGTTTTTCAATCTGTGCAGAAACTCAGTGACGTGAGAAAGTGAAGACGAAGAGGTTAGCAACATTTAGCTTAGCATTGGTGAGATCATAACCCTTTTTACTTCAATATCTGTTTACTCAAATACAAATAATATCTAGACCACAATGAACATTTGAGGTGGGGGAAAGGGAACCGTGGGGGGGGTCATAATGTTAGGGGGGGAAAATGGAATTTTGAGGTTAAAGTTTTACATTTTTCTGTATAATTTTTTTATTTTTTATTTCAATGTGCAAATATGATCTTTGAGAATATTCTATTTCCCTGATGAATGTAGAACCCTAACTTCAGACATTTTGATTTATTTTTTCTTGCAAATAATCAGAGAATATTCTGTATTTTTTCTGTTAAATTTTAAACTTGAATCTGAATTGTTCACGTAACTTCAAAAGATTACATTTTCCTAACATTACATTTGAGCATTTTCGGACATTTATGATTGAAATATTACCTTTACGATTAATCGGTTATTAAATATTTGACTGATTGTTCCGGCTTTTTAAAAACAGGTATTTCTCGGTCATGATTATTAATTGTTTTCAGGCTAAAATGTTATGAAAGTTTGTTTAAAATGAACGTTTCTATATGAAATAAAATCAGTGGCTGTCGATTGATACTGGATATTACTTCTGTTCTGATGAAGACATTTATAAAACTATATTATAAAACGGACTCCTTTGTTTTACAGGTCCGTCACTTCTTAAACCCAATGATCGGGTTCCCTGAGAGTCACTTAGAAAACTGATTATTATTGGAGCTATTAGAAAGTTGTTGGTTTTATGACCAAGTGGTTGATTTCCAGATCTCTTTTAGCTGAAAGTCCTCACGGTGTGCTCTGAATAAGGACCGGTACAGGCATGTTCTCGCAGCAGGAACAAACACAGAAACAGAATATAGCAGAGAGGAAAAGTGCTGGACTTCTGAGAACTAAATAAAACACAGGAAAATGAAAAACAAGAAATATAAAAAGAGGAAATTCAGAATGCCCGTCTGCTTCTGTCCGACTGAAAGCTCACTCATTCAAATATCTCAGATCAGATTTCAGATCAGATGCTTCCTGCAGCAGAAACACGTCGTCATGAATCTGCAGGAGGTTAGAGATCTGGACCCGGGTTAGAAAGTGAAGGCAGAGTCCATCCTGAAGAGAAACTCAGTTCTTAACGAGCAGGAGGTTTAAGGACAGGACACAGGACAGGACACAGGACAGGACACAGGACACAGGACACAGGACACAGGACAACAATCCTGAAGAGAAACTCAGATCAGATGAGAGTCCGTAGCATCAGAACAAACTTCAGATCTTAACGAGCAGGAGGTTTAAAGATCTTGACTTCATAAACAAACTAAAGGCCGTTTCCATCTTGAAGTAGAAACTCTGAGGTTAGAGATCTGTTCCCGTTAGACTAAAGACATGCAGAGTCAGATGAGTCCGTAGCATCAGAACAAACCTCATTGTTAACGAGCGGAAGGTTTAAAGATCTTGACTTCATAAACAAACTAGAGCCCGTTTCCATCTTGAAGTAGAAACTCTGAATCATCATTAGAGTTCGTAGCGGCGTCAGATCCCCCACAATGCCCCTCTCCTCTACTCTTTCTTCAGGCGAGCGTCTTGGCACCGGCACAGGTATGTCTTGTAGAAGAAGTTGCTGAACAGCATCAGGTAGCTCCCGTACATGACGGCCGCGCAGCCGATGTTATCGATGCGCGTGGGGCAGTCTGCGCTGTTCATCCATTTATAAACCAGCGCGCTGACCAGCAGGCCCATCGCCATCTGTCCGATCTGAGCGCTGGTGATGATCACAGCGAGCGGTCGAGGGACCTTTAACCCCGCGGCACGAGCAGAGTAGTAGCTGTACATGAGAGCGTGCACGGTGAAGTTCATGGTCATGAACCAGCCGCCGCCCGCCACCATGTCCTTGTAGGAGTACCAGGAGTAGAGCAGCACGGTGATGTGATGGTACCAGTGTAGGAACAGCAGCTTCTGCTTCCTCAGCACCACGAAGGCCGTGTCGCCTGGCGGAGAGAGGGTCAAAAGGTCAATGGCTGCACTTATATATCTCTTTATCCAGTCTGTTCAACCCAGTCCGTTCAACCCAGTCTCACAACAAAGCGTGTAATAGCTGCGTTGGTCCACAGGGCAAAACTAGCTATTACACGTTCTTTTGTGAGACTGGGGTCTGTTCGACCCCTCAAAGCTCTTCACATACGAGTCATTCACACATTCAAAATGTCTAGAGAGATGTCCTGAAGATTTGGGAAAAGTTGCAGGAATATATCCAACACAAATGTTAAAAGTAACAGAAAAATGACTCGAAACATTAGTGAAAAAGTGTGTGTAAAGATCCTTAAAATGACCAAACCTTATGAGAGGTTTAATAACATATAAATATCTAATTTATATTAAAAAAACATGACTTTATAATCTGATAATATAAAAGAAAATCTTGTAACTTAAATGACTTAATGGAGTTACTGAGCGTAAACATGTATAATAAATATAACCGTACCCAGCTCCGGGGCCTTGCTCAGCACGAAGGCGTACGCCCAGAACTTGCTGACCGGTCCGTTGTAGAAGCTCTGATCACAGATGGAGCGTCTGAAGCCCTGGAGACTCAGGATGTGAACCATGTAGGAACCGGTCCGCACCGCCCCGATGATACTGCACACACACGTTTAGTTAAAGAAGCAAAGACCTGGTAAAACATTCAAGATTCAAGGCTGTATCATCATGTGCTCAGCAGCTACAGATAACTGTTGGGAAATTACAGAATGTCCTCTTCCAACATGAGAGTAACATGATAACAAAGGTATCCCAACTGTAGCTGTGAACATGACAGGATGTGTGATTACCTAGAAGAGCATCAGGACTGTTTGAGGCATATGATAGCTATGTGATGAACATGATGATTCAGCCTCTATGGAGATAGACATATGACAAGCATGCATGGATCCTGAGATTGAGGCTCAAGCCGGGGACCAGTGAGATTTCTCCAACAGTGTGTCAATGAAAAACTGAAGTCCTCCAACAGAGCAACATGAATATATATAGGACATAAAACTAATAAAATAGAAATAGTGCAAGAAAAAACAATTTCCCAAATTGGGATCAATCAAGTACCATCTGATCTTATCTACAAGTAGATGGAATGATATATTAGATAAATAATTAGCAAAATGCAAACAGATGAATGTTTATGGATGTTCTTTAAAAGGTTCATGTGTTTAACAGTCTTATCATGGTCATGTGGGCGGGGTGTAAATATGAGACCGTGTCCCGACTCATTACGTCTTATTTTATATATTATTATTACGCCCCTTGTAGCACCTTGGGATTACTTTTAGCAATGAAAGGTGCTTTACAAATAACATGTATTCTTATTTTATATGATTTATTGACTTTATACAACGTGTTTTTACCTGAAGACGGCGAGGCTGAGCGACCAGAGGACGAGCGGCAGGCGCAGGTTCATCTTGGGGCGGAGCTTCATGTAGTGCTGACCTCCGAACACCAGGGCGGCGTAAAGAGCGCTGAACACAAACGACTTACTCCTGAAGAGATACAAAAAAAAGTGAAAACGTTAAAGTAGAGACACTACATACTGATATACACCTGAACATCAGCAGGAGAGAACTCTTTAAAGTAGAGACACTACATACTGATATACACCTGAACATCAGCAGGAGAGGACTCTTTAAAGTAGAGACACTACATACTGATATACACCTGAACATCAGCAGGAGAGGACTCTTTAAAGTAGAGACACTACATACTGATATACACCTGAACATCAGCAGGAGAGAACTCTTTAAAGTAGAGACACTACATACTGATATACACCTGAACATCAGCAGGAGAGGACTCTTTAAAGTAGAGACACTACATACTGATATACACCTGAACATCAGCAGGAGAGGACTCTTTAAAGTAGAGACACTACATACTGATATACACCTGAACATCAGCAGGAGAGGACTCTTTAAAGTAGAGACACTACATACTGATATACACCTGAACATCAGCAGGAGAGGACTCTTTAAAGTAGAGACACTACATACTGATATACACCTGAACATCAGCAGGAGAGGACTCTTTAAAGTAGAGACACTACATACTGATATACACCTGAACATCAGCAGGAGAGGACTCTTTAAAGTAGAGACACTACATACTGATATACACCTGAACATCAGCAGGAGAGGACTCTTTAAAGTAGAGACACTACATACTGATATACACCTGAACATCAGCAGGAGAGGACTCTTTAAAGTAGAGACACTACATACTGATATACACCTGAACATCAGCAGGAGAGGACTCTTTAAAGTAGAGACACTACATACTGATATACACCTGAACATCAGCAGGAGAGGACTCTTTAAAGTAGAGACACTACATACTGATATACACCTGAACATCAGCAGGAGAGGACTCTTTAAAGTAGAGACACTACATACTGATATACACCTGATCATCAGCAGGGGAGGACTCTTTAAAGTGGTTTGTTTTTATTACAGTTCCTCATGTAGATGTGTTATTTTAAAGTCTGTGTTCATGCTGACTTGTTTACGTTGGGCCACACCTTAATCCCATTTAAAAATCTACATTTTCCGGCAGGTGAGAGGCCGACCTGCTCTACCTGCTCTCCAGGTGTCTTCACCTGATTTATCTTCAGGGGATTACATCAGCCCACTTTAACTACACAGATTTTAAAGAAGATGTGTTGAATGTTGGTGTCATGTTACTTTAGGTGTTTCTAAGCAGCTGTGATTAACAGACCATCGATCTGTATTTTTTTTTTTCAAGCTGCGTAAAAATGAACATGTTTTGTTTTATAATAAATTGCCATCAGTGGAATAAACCAATAAATAAAATCCTGATAATGGCTGATTTTACATGTTTTATATCATGAATCAGTTTAAAAATATCACACTAAACAGAGTTATTTTCCAGTGAAAGTTTAAAATCAGGCCACATTTTTCTCGGTTTCTGCTGCATATTTTGAGATGTCATCACCTGGGAGTGACTGCCTCTAACAGGAAGAACCGGATTTAAAATAAATAGCGCAACCTACCAAAAATAAGTGACGTTACAGTGCCTCACCTGTAGTACACCTGAGTTAGAGATAAAGCTTTCTCCTTTTAGTAACCCCAAGAATACTCGATACGAGTTTGACCCACATTTAAAAAAACGCACCAAATCTCGTTCACAAATTACTAGTTTTAAAGTCCACTGCTTTGTAAATGACATACGAGTAGTATAAATAAGAAAATGTATGTATTCATAGAATAAGCTATAAAAGCTTGTCAATTCGGCTTAAAAACATTTCTAAAAAACAGTTTTTATTACACTAAAAACAGAAAATATATTTGAGGTGATTTGATTTTTTTAAGCGACCATCGCCGTTTGCTACCCGTTCGGTGGGGCACTTAGTATCGATCAAACCGGTTAAAGAAGGGGTGTGTGTGTGTGAAATACGTGTTTTTAGTTTAGTTTATGTATGCCGAAACAAAGACTGGATCCAAACACTCCAGAAACTGCCTTCAAACACGTTTAAAACGACTCCTACTTTTACAGTAGAGATTTTTATTTAAAAAAAATGTAGTTTTCTTAATGGAGTTTTGCACGTAGCTTCCACCACGGTTACCGGGGGCATTTCGACTCTTTCTTACTGTTAATTAGCTATTAAAAGTTTAAAGTCAGGGCAAACATCTCTCAGTTTCTTCAACACACTTCAATATGTCCTCCACAATGAGGGTTTTGAATCCCACTTTCCTCATATTTGTTACAAAACATCATTTTAATCAATGTTATATGTAAAGAATCAACATGAAATCTCCACTCTGTTCTGCTCGGTAATGATGAAGCTCACTTTTCTCCGCTTCCCCCTGAACAGTTAGCGGGGGATGTAAACCCTCAGTAGAAGCAGATAAGTTAGATATAATGCTGATAAATCAATAGGTTACCAGTTGTCCTGCATCCACTGAATGGCTCCTCTCTCGTCGAACCTCCTCTCGAAGCTCCACTCAGACAGCAGCAGCTCGGAGGCGTTCAGCTGCTGCAGAAGCTCCATGATGACAGGTTGTTCAAAGATCAATGTTCAATATCAAGTGTTGTATTAGCAGTGAGAGTCCTGTGTTTCCGTCCTCCTGTCGTCTGTCTGGCTCCTCACCTGTCTCACACTCCTAATTAAAGCCTATTAGCAGGGGGCGGGGCTTACAGGACACACCTGCTTCCTATCAACTTCTTTCAAACTTCTTTCTTCCGTCTTTTTTAAATGACAAGTTATTTGTAAAATGTTGATTCAATATTAAGATTTATAATAACTAATATGTAATATTCTTTCATTAACATTCAACGTTTGTTGTTTACATTTCAGCATTGCTAAAGATTACATAAACAAATATATTACTATTTATTTTTACATGAATTATTTTTTCTCTATTTTTAATAATAACGTTACATTTCCTAAACATTTTGTACCACAACCTTTAAGCTGAATTTAAAGGATATTAGAAGAGAAGAAGAAGAAAGATATTGGAAGATATATTTTTAAAAAGTTGGATTTTATCATAAATGCCGAAAATGGTCTGAAAAGTGTTTAAAAAGTAGAATACAAAATGTGATGTGTATCTGAAACACTGACACACTGATGGTGATGGAAAGCTGGTTCGAGGGGCCCCCAGTGAATGTTTGCCTCTAGGTCCCCCACAGACCGGATCGCCACTGAAATAACCAACTAGCTAATTAACTAACAGACTAAATACAAGCTCTTTAAATCTGAGAGTCAAGTAAAAATAACTAAATACTGAAGTTCTTCACATTTCCTGCTCGGGTGGAGCTGAAGAACCGGTTTCTCTGTTTCGCCTTCTCAGAAACCAGCTGGGAATAATTTAACATATTTAAAGGTCTCCTATTCTGCAGAATCCTCTTCTTCATGTCTCTTCTTCATCAACATGTGTCCCCTCTTCTTCATGTCTCTTCTTCATCAACATGTGTCCCCTCTTCTTCATGTCTCTTCTTCATCAACATGTGTCCCCTCTTCTTCATGTCTCTTCTTCATCAACATGTGTCCCCTCTTCTCCATGTCTCTTCTACATCAACATGTGTCCCCTCTTCTTCATGTCTCTTCTACATCAACATGTGTCCCCTCTTCTTCATGTCTCTTCTTCATCAACATGTGTCCCCTCTTCTTCATGTCTCTTCTTCATCAACATGTGTCCCCTCTTCTTCATGTCTCTTCTACATCAACATGTGTCCCCTCTTCTCCATGTCTCTTCTACATCAACATGTGTCCCCTCTTCTTCATGTCTCTTCTTCATCACCATGTGTCCCCTCTTCTTCATGTCTCTTCTTCATCAACATGTGTCCCCTCTTCTTCATGTCTCTTCTTCATCAACATGTGTCCCCTCTTCTTCATGTCTCTTCTTCATCAACATGTGTCCCCTCTTCTTCATGTCTCTTCTTCATCAACATGTGTCCCCTCTTCTTCATGTCTCTTCTTCATCAACATGTGTCCCCTCTTCTTCATGTCTCTTCTTCATCAACATGTGTCCCCTCTTCTTCATGTCTCTTCTACATCAACACGTGTCCCCTCTTCTTCATGTCTCTTCTTCATCAACATGTGTCCCCTCTTCTCCATGTCTCTTCTTCATCAACACGTGTCCCTCTTCTTCATGTCTCTTCTACATCAACATGTGTCTCCTCTTCTTCATGTCTCTTCTACATCAACATGTGTCCCCTCTTCTTCATGTCTCTTCTACATCAACATGTGTCCCCTCTTCTTCATGTCTCTTCTACATCAACATGTGTCCCCTCTTCTTCATGTCTCTTCTTCATCAACATGTGTCCCCTCTTCTTCATGTCTCTTCTTCATCAACATGTGTCCCCTCTTTCTTCATGTCTCTTCTTCATCAACATGTGTCCCCTCTTCTTCATGTCTCTTCTTCATCAACATGTGTCCCCTCTTCTTCATGTCTCTTCTTCATCAACATGTGTCCCCTCTTCTTCATGTCTCTTCTTCATCAACATGTGTCCCCTCTTCTTCATGTCTCTTCTTCATCAACATGTGTCCCCTCTTCTTCATGTCTCTTCTACATCAACATGTGTCCCCTCTTCTTCATGTCTCTTCTTCATCAACACGTGTCCCCTCTTTCTTCATGTCTCTTCTTCATCAACACGTGTCCCCTCTTCTTCATGTCTCTTCTTCATCAACACGTGTCCCCTCTTCTTCATGTCTCTTCTTCATCAACACGTGTCCCCTCTTCTTCATGTCTCTTCTACATCAACACGTGTCCCCTCTTCTTCATGTCTCTTCTTCATCAACACGTGTCCCCTCTTCTTCATGTCTCTTCTTCATCAACATGTGTCCCCTCTTCTTCATGGCTCTTCTTCATCAACATGTGTCCCCTCTTCTTCATGTCTCTTCTACATCAACATGTGTCCCCTCTTCTTCATGTCTCTTCTACATCAACATGTGTCCCCTCTTCTTCATGTCTCTTCTTCATCAACATGTGTCCCCTCTTCTTCATGTCTCTTCTTCATCAACATGTGTCCCCTCTTCTTCATGTCTCTTCTTCATCAACATGTGTCCCCTCTTCTTCATGTCTCTTCTTCATCAACATGTGTCCCCTCTTCTTCATGTCTCTTTCTTCATCAACATGTGTCCCCTCTTCTTCATGTCTCTTCTTCATCAACATGTGTCCCCTCTTCTTCATGTCTCTTCTTCATCAACATGTGTCCCCTCTTCTTCATGTCTCTTCTTCATCAACATGTGTCCCCTCTTCTTCATGTCTCTTCTACATCAACATGTGTCCCCTCTTCTTCATGTCTCTTCTACATCAACATGTGTCCCCTCTTCTTCATGTCTCTTCTTCATCAACATGTGTCCCCTCTTCTTCATGTCTCTTCTTCATCAACATGTGTCCCCTCTTCTTCATGTCTCTTCTTCATCAACAGTGTCCCCTCTTCTTCATGTCTCTTCTTCATCAACATGTGTCCCCTCTTCTTCATGTCTCTTCTTCATCAACATGTGTCCCCCTCTTCTTCATGTCTCTTCTTCATCAACATGTGTCCCCTCTTCTTCATGTCTCTTCTTCATCAACATGTGTTCCCCTCTTCTTCATGTCTCTTCTTCATCAACATGTGTCCCCTCTTCTTCATGTCTCTTCTTCATCAACATGTGTCCCCTCTTCTTCATGTCTCTTCTTCATCAACATGTGTCCCCTCTTCTTCATGTCTCTTCTTCATCAACATGTGTCCCCTCTTCTTCATGTCTATTCTACATCAACATGTGTCCCCTCTTCTTCATGTCTCTTCTTCATCAACATGTGTCCCCTCTTCTTCATGTCTCTTCTTCATCAACATGTGTCCCCTCTTCTTCATGTCTCTTCTTCATCAACATGTGTCCCCTCTTCTTCATGTCTCTTCTTCATCAACATGTGTCCCCTCTGTGGAAAGAGACTCTGAAAGTTTCAGGAACAAAGATTCTCTCTCTTTTTGATCCATTTCTATAAAAACCGGTCTGAAAATGAGCTGATCAGATTTTGGCCACTTTGTGATGTCATAACAATGTTGTGTCTTGTGTAACCATTAGCCAATCAGCAACCAAGGTAACCCCCCCCCCCCCCCCACCTTATCACCTGAATCTGCTCCTAGAGCACCATTGAGTTCTTTGTAACCAAATGTCTCTCAGAGGGGCGTGGGGAGGGGCTCCTTATTTCATCTAAAGTAACAGACAGAGAATCAGCACTTTGGAAACAGGGCTGAAACAGAGGGGATTATGGGTAATGCTGCAATGATCTGTTTGGTGTTTCAGCCAATCAGAGACAGGCTCTGGATATATCTGAGACCTGGGATATATTGATGAAGAGGAGGATGATAGGGGACCTTTAATTTAAACTCAAAGGAGTCAAAGCTCTTCTTCTACAGGTGAATCCACTTTAATACATGAATGGAAATCATTTTAAAAAGCAAGCATTAGCAGCATCTCTACACTGTAACTCAGATTATCAAGATTATTATATTATTCATAACTTTCATTAAAACATATAAAAGGCAGATTTTTTTTAGATTAAATTAAAAATAAACATACAAACAAATCAAAATTATAAAATAAAACTATTTAAAACAATACAAATATATTTATTTTGACTTCAGTAAAAGCACTTTTCTGCCATCTGCTGGACACAAAGTGAAACTGCACCTCAGAGGAGGTTTCAGAAGATAAGGCAGAGAAAAGGTTCCATTAAATAACAACATATATAAAAAATGTGTTTTTAGATTTAAAAATCAAGACAATTTCACCTTCTGTGATGAATCTGTAAATAACTGTAATATATACTACATTACATCACATCACATCACATTACATCACATTACATTACATTACATTACATTACATTACATTACATCACATTACATTACATTACATTATTACCTTTAAGAAGAAGATTGGGAGGGATGACACCCTCTTTAATGGTCCCACATGCAGAGCACACAGAACACACAGTGACATTTGTTCTCTGCTTTTAACCCATCCTAGTACCAGGAGTCTAGTACCAGGAGTCTAGGACCAGGAGTCTAGTACCAGGAGTCTAGTACCAGGAGTCTAGGACCAGGAGTCTAGTACCAGGAGTCTAGTGCCAGGAGTCTAGTACCAGGAGTCTAGTACCAGGAGTCTAGTACCAGGAGTCTAGTACCAGGAGTCTAGTACCAGGAGTCTAGTGCCAGGAGTCTAGTACCAGGAGTCTAGCACCAGGAGTCTAGTACCAGGAGTCTAGTACCAGGAGTCTAGTACCAGGAGTCTAGTGCCAGGAGTCTAGTACCAGGAGTCTAGTGCCAAGAGTCTAGTACCAGGAGTCTAGTGCCAGGAGTCTAGTACCAGGAGTCTAGTACCAGGAGTCTAGAGCCAGGAGTCTAGAACTTGGAGTCTAGTACCAGGAGTCTAGAACCAGGAGTCTAGTGCCAGGAGTCTAGTGCCAGGAGTCTAGTACCAGGAGTCTAGTACCAGGAGTCTAGAACCAGGAGTCTAGAGCCAGGAGTCTAGTGCCAGGAGTCTAGTACCAGGAGTCTAGAACTTGGAGTCTAGAACCAGGAGTCTAGAACTTGGAGTCTAGCACCAGGAGTCTAGTGCCAGCAGTCTAGTACCAGGAGTCTAGTACCAGGAGTCTAGTACCAGGAGTCTAGTGCTAGGAGTCTAGTACCA